GATGGATTTGGATCGGTCAAATAATTACTGTGAATCATTTGTATTATTATTTTATTGATGGAGGCTTTATTTTAATTATGTACATATTTTACTTGTCAAAATAAATTATAAAAGGTTAACAATTACCCATGCTTTGTATGTTAGAACTGTTTAGGTTAATCATATTATGGTTACAGACTATCCCATCACATAATTTTATAATGAATAATCCTAATTTACAATTATATTAGGTCAAGATTTATAACTAGTATTTTATCCACTATAGATGTTTGTCATAGACTCATTAGTTTACTATACACAAAAGGGTAGGTTTTTGATATACCGTACATCTAAATTGGGATGTACAATGTACGTGTACGCAACAATATTTAATCATTGGATCATTTACTGAATGGTTGCTATTTACTAGAAGCTATACGATATATGTGATTAAGATGGCTCTGTTTTGTTAACTAATGGATGTCAACCGAACTATATTTATTCCACTTCACATGACATTATACCGACTAACTTTTAAGCGGTCCAATTACAACTAGCTCAGTTATTATTCTCCTTAGACAAGTTGAAGGTTCATCTAAGTGTGTTTATATTTTAGTTACAAAGTATGAGGCTAAACTTATGTAAATAATTTATAAGTCATAGGTTTAGTTATATTTGGACATAGACTAATTAATGGCACTAATATTTCCTATGCTTTAATCAATTTGAAACAATGCACCTAGTTAGTTTACATAGGTTTTATAGTGAGAAAGCATGTTAAAGACAATTATTTGACATCTACTTTACAGTACAATATCAATTTTCTTATTAGCACATTTTTAAGTTAACTATTATGCATCATCTTGATATTAATTATTAATAATTATAAATATATTTTATTAAATAGTGAATTATATACCATTGGAAAGCTTGTGAATTTAGATGAATTTAGGTTCAAGTTTCAGTCAAATCGGAGCTAAAATGAATAAGTTATGCTAGTGTAAAGATTCAAATTTGAATTAATTCTAATAATTGCGAAATGGTACTGTTCCTAATCCATTTATTTTTAATACAACCTTATCCACAGGCTATAGTGACTTACAGGTGGGGTCTTCCTATTTTCTTTCCTTTTCTTTTATTTTTCTTCCTAAAGGAATCATACGGGCAAATGACGAGTGGGCCCGATTCCTTTGACTAGGGTCAAACTGGCCATTTAACGCGGTAGGGCCCGCATGTTGTAGACTCGAGATTATAAAACCTTTATAATTAGATTTTTAACCACCCGGACCCACATGTAATAGACTCAACTAATAAAGATTAAGAAGGGAATTACTATTCACTAAACACGTGGGGCCCACTCTAATCTCTCCTCTCCTTTCTCTTTTCTCTCTCTCTTCTCTGTTTTCTCTCTTCTCTCCCTCCCAGCTTCTTCTCCCTCCTCTCTCTCTCGGCTCTTTGGCGATGACGACCGACCAAGGGGAGGAGGCGGCGGCTTACCGACGATGGCGGCGGCGACGGCGGCACGACGACGGCGCACGGCGCGGCGGCACGAAGGCGGCGGTGCGGCGGCGCGAGGGCGACGCGACGACGGCGCACGGTGCGGCGGCACGAAGGCGGCGGCGCGGCGCGGTGGAGGGGAAGGGGGAAAAAGGAGGGGAAGGAGGGGGGAAATGGCGTGGGGAGGGAAGGGAAAGGGGAGGGGGTATTTATAGGGCTCGGGGGAGGGGTGGCCGGCTTTAAACGATGACGGAACGGCGTGGCGACGCGGGGCTCGGGCGATGGCGACGCGCGGCGATGGGACGGCGCGGCGCGACGGCGACAGTGCGCGGCGCGGGCGGGGCTCGAGGCGCTGATGGCGACAGCGGTGACGCGATGGCGCGGTAGCGGCACGGGGCTCGGGGCGCGGCAGCGGCTCATGGCTTGGAGGCGCGGCAGCGGCGCAGGGCGACGGCGACGGGATGGCGGGTGACGCAACGGCGACGGCGGGTGACGCAACGGCGACAGCGCGCGGCGTCTCAGGGCGCTAGGCCGACGGCGACGGTCGAGCGGCGCGGCAGCGACAGGGCGCGGGGCTCGAAGGCGTGGCAGCGCGACGGCGACGGCTCGCGGCTCGCGGCGATGGCGACGGCGTGCGGCACAATGGGACGCGAGGGGGCATGGCAGTGGCGGCTCGGCGACGCGACGGGCGGGCGGCGCGGCGCAGGGCACGAGGTGGTGTGTGCGCGGCGCGAGGCGCCGGGGCACGGCTGCGAAGCCGACGCAACGGCGATGGCGACGGCGCGCGGCGCGCGATGATGTCGATGCGACGACGACGACGACGGCACGCGCAGAGGACGGATGGGACCGACGATGGCGACATGACGCGGCGGCGCGGCAGGGCGACGGCGCTGACAAGACGGCGCGCGGCGCAAGGCAGCGGCGCAGCAGAGGGCGGTAGCGGCGCGGCGCGCGCAGGGGTGGCGCGGGGCTCGAGGGGGAGCACGGTAGAGGAGGGGTGGTGGTTAGGGAACCAAATCAAACACCTAGAGGGCTAATGAACAGTGCTAGCCAACTATTTTTGATTTTATAGGGTATTTTGCAATTAGGAAAAATATACTATTGCCACTAATTTTGTCACAATGTAAAATACACCAAGCCTAACATAATCCATCGAAATTTGTATTCAAATTTAATATTGAACATATTTTTATTTTTATTATATATTTTTCTAAGTATTCCTATTTTTAGGGCTTTGGTTTATTTATAAATTGAGAAAAGTTGCCAATTAAATTTGTATTTACTCCTAAGCAGTTGAGTGACTATATTAAGTGCTCAAATGTGAATTTTCCCAAAATTTAATATTGTCCAATATTTAATATATATCCTAGATTTTTATAATTTCCTATATTTGGGGATTTTGGTATTTATCTGTTTCCACACATATTGGTTCATCTTTTTGGATTGGTTTTACCACTACATGGATTTCTATAATTTAGCATTTGTGATTCAGTTCAAATTATATAATATCTAATTAATTTTTCCCAGTAAAACTATTCTATAGATAGAGTTCCATTTATTTGAATGATTATCATTTCCTAAGTGTTTATATTTCATAGCACGCATCACATGGTTCAAGTATTCAATATTTGATCCATAAATTAAATTAGTAATTAACCTTTCCTTTGTTTGGATTTGCTTTCTTTGTGATTATTTACGGTTTGGCAAGCAATAGTAATCATAACAATCAGCATGGTGCAAAAGTTTTAAAAAGTTTGAAATTTTAGTGATTTTTATTGTCGGGAATTTTCAGGATGTTACACAGAGGGAGGTGGAAAAAACAATTCTAATATAGTAATAATTAAACATAGTGGGTCTAGTTGTTTATTTAAGTGACACATGGTGGTTTAGGAGTATTTGTAGGACTTCCACATGGTAGTTTAGGAGTGTTTGTAGGAAATTTCATGGACTTCTAGTATATAACTAGGAAGGTAGCACGCACATTTGCGCAGGGAGGCATCATAAGCTACGGTTGACACTTATGAGTGCGGAATACCAATCAAAGAATATCTGGCACGCTTTAAAAGTATAATTTCTCCATAAATTTTATTCTCAGCATTGCTTAGGTAAATTTTCTAACCTATTAGTTAATTATTTCAATTATCTAACACAATTGTTATGGCAATAGCCTTTTCAATCTAAGTGAAAAGTAACAAGCAAAATTTTCTAACTTTTTCCTCCAATTGGTTAGATTTACTCTCTAATAATATTTTTCTATTTTATTTAATACAAGTGCAAATATAAGTTCAAAATTTGTGATATTATGAATAGTGATAGAGCATTACACCTTTCATCTCAACTTTGAGAAAATTTCAATCACACTTGGTGATGTATTAAGTAGTTAAGACTGATGTGGGTCCTCATTCTTTATTAACAATAAACATATGAATTGGATGGTATGGATTTCTAGAGTTCAATAAGATTCCGTGCTGTGAAACACATCTATGAATGTATCATGTAGAGTGTGCGAGGCTTCATGCAGCCGATTGTAAACACGATCTTACAACTAAATATATCTAACTGTGCATGCATCATTATTTTGGAATGTGATGTATTACATGCTTCTATGATTTGTTTGGTTACTATTGATTTAGTTTAGCTATATATGTTTATATATATGTTTATAGAGTGACTTATAATGATATAATATATGCTGGCAATTTTTTTCTCGTATTTCATTGCTATTTGGATGACATGCAAAGTGCATGGGTCAACTGTAGCCAAATAATATATTATATAGCAAAATATAGGCATGTGGATCTTAAATCGTCAGTTTTGTTATAAATATATCAATAGTTAGATTAGAAGTAAGACATGTATCTTAAAAAAAATATCATCGTTTCAATATACAATTATCAGTTGTTTCTTCTTTAGTTTAATAGTTAAATAATTCAAAAGGGTAGAGAAATGAAGAACGCAGAGTTCGAGGCATGGAGAGGGGGTGGATTGTGATGTGCACATGTGAGGGGAGAAGATTACACGCACCTTCCATGTTTTCTTTATCGCCAACCCAATTTACTTCAAAATAAAATGAAGGCTCCACACACACAAGGGCCAAGTACAATTTAGAGAAAGCAGCATGGCAAGCTATATGGTTGGTACGCCAAATCGAGGTGCTGATAAAGCAGTGCTGTCCGACAGGTTGGTGGAGAAATGTTATGCAAACTATATGGCGGAGGAATGTTAACGATGCCGTCTGATAATTAGGGGGCTTTTAACTATTTGCCACTCTTACGAATGGTGCTTAACGATTTGCCACTAGGCCCACATGTCATAGACACATGAGGGCCCATGTGTCATTGACAGAGCATGGCAAAATCGTTAATTGCCAAGTCACAAGAGTGGCAAATAGTTAAATTTCCCGATAATTAGTGGCCCCTACTCCCCAGCCTGACTGTTGAGCGCGCACGAGAAAATGTATCAAGGCTTCACAATTTACACATGCTCTCTTCAAATAATTTCACAATTCAAGTTCAGACTTTCAGTACCAGAAAATGGTTCTCAATAATGCAGCTTTATTTATTATGCTAGAACATCACAACAAACAGAGAGAAAACTCCAAGAAAGGCAAGTAAACCACACACAAACATAGCACAAACCACGTCAGCACACATATGTATATAGTTTTGGTAGGAGGATAAATTTAATTTCCTCAGTGGTAATATTCCAGCCTGGGTTGTTAGTGCGCCCTCCTACCATCATTCTCCAATGCCATCACATTACCGTGGTGACGAACCTCTTGATGCATGTGAAATTCATGCCTGTGCACCTCCTTATGCACTCTGTGATGCATACCATGATGATTATGGTCCACAGATTCGAAACTGTCCAACTTAGTTGAAGTTGTAGTTATCCATCCCTGCAGTTAAAACGCAGACCAAAAATCAGCCGCACGATTGCCGAAAATTATATCAGGGTTTGAAATTTTGGTAATTTCCGAATCCCAGCAAGCTAATATATGGTCCAAGATTTTCAAGTTTCTTTCAAAATTTTAAATAATTCCGTGCGAAACACCACCAAGATTCCTGAAATCCGGTGACCACCGAAATTTCTAACCGATATACTTCTGTCCATTTCAGTCCAAATCAAGTGTTTAGCAACAGACAAAAACCTTCTGCATTTCCTGTAGATCCTTGATTTTTCGCTGCAATTTCTTGTTTTCCTCATCGAGGCGCTTGTTCTCTTCCCTCTTTGTCTCAAGTTTTGTGTTGAGATATTCCTTCTCTCTCTTTGTGATTTTGAGTTCTTCCTTGGCATCTTTGGTCTCCTTTGTCTTTTTTTCGAGCTTTGAGTTGAGATTTTCTTTGTCTCTCTTCCATTTTCGTTGTTCTTGCTGGAGAAGCTTGTATCCTTCCTCTTGTTTGATTTGCTTTGACTCGACAGCTTCCTTCTGTTTCTTCATGTTCTGAAGGTCCTTTTTGTATCGATCCATTTTCGCCATTAGATCATCCTGAAATAAATGATGAAGTTAGCAAAGGAAATATAATCAGAAAGATTGAGGCATTAATCTTGCAATTAATTAAAATCTCTGCATTTAGCACATACCGGCACAACTGATTCAATCTTGACACTGGATGACATTTTCTTGAGGCGCTCATAGAGCTTCCCGACGTCGACAGTCCCTGGCACGTCCACCTTCAAACTGCTGCCATCTACTTTTACTTTGAAATTATCCTGGTCGACAGATTCTAAAAGTAAAAAACCAAGATGATGAGTACTATTAGTTATTTTCTGCATAATTCACCCTTCCGAACATCTCTGTCCATTTGATTTGGACTGAAATCCAACAGCAGGCAGGATTATTGATCCACAATTTGTGAAATTTCCATCACCCGGAGACAAGAAAATACGAGATGTTAAATGGGGAGTATATCTGCTACGATCATTACAACCTTTGAACTCTTGACGAAGTACGCTCTTGACCTCTACGTCGTTTGCACCCCGAACCTTGAGCTTCGTAAGTTTCTTGTCTCCCTGCCAAGAGTTCGATCGTACATAAGAAGAAATCCTTCAAACGTTTGTTGATTTGAACCAGCAAAACAAACGAGTGCAGAAACAAAATTCAAGAACAGCACATACCATTTGCTTCAGATATATATGGTGAAAAGAGATGGGGAGGAAGTCAGAGACTAGAGCAAGATCTAGTACTGCTGCTCCAAGAACAACATCGCCATGGGCTACCAACTTAAATACCGTGATTCCTGAGGAACAGAATCTGGAAAACGTGTTCGTCGTTCCATCTGAATACGCGTTCTTTCATGCAGATGTCCTCGTCTCCGTGTAAGATGCAAATATGGATTTGATTACATTCATCTCGAAAGGTAAGAAGGATGATCATCGCATCTGTATCTTTTCCCTTGACTTATCGTAGCTTCATTCCGTCAATGAATATAATATATACTCCTTCTCTTTCTAAATATTTAACGCAATTGACTTTTTAAAATATATTTAATCATTCGTCTTATCTTAACTAATTAAAAGATTCGTATTTTTCCTTTAGTCACATCATCCGTGCGGTGTTTTTTTCGTCCGTCTAGGTTTTTTTTTGCGCGCGTGGTTTTTTTCGTACGTGGTCTTTTACTGAGTCCGTCTGCTTTTTTTTCCGCACGCAGTTTTTTATAGGCCCGCTCGGTTTTTTTGCGCTTACGGTTTTTTTAAGTTGTCCGTCTCCAGTTCTCACATGATGTTTTTTTTGGGCCCACAGCCCAGGAATTACATACAGAGTCTAACCTATATAGGAATTACATGGAGTCCAAACATAGAAATTACATGACAAGTAGTATACAAACAACTTCTCAACCTATATAGAAAAACTGAAAGCACATAGAAGACTAATATATGCTCCTAGAATTTGATGTGGATACTAAGCAATCTCTCGCTCGACGCTACTCATACATGCACCCAGATTTTTTTAAAAAAACTGAGAAATTCCTGTTCGCCGTGAGACTTAATGTTCTTTTACTGCATTTACGATGATAGAAGGTAATTCTTCAGTCCTTAATGATGTACACATTATTAATGGCATATAGCGAACAATTAGCACAAATCAATCGATCTTAGAGGGAAAAAAATACATGGAAATAAAACTACCAAGCTCAGCAAGGAATAAATATCAAAAACCAGATTGATTGGATCTCATACCTTATTTAAGTGGCAACCATATTTTATTAGTAATTTCGAAGAAAAAAAACCAGCCATCTTATATTAGTAAAAAAAAACTTTATCACACAAAACTATTAACCCAAATAATACCACTATTACTTCATTATATTTTTATTTGCTACACTTATTTTTGATTTCAGATGTATAATAAGCCCCAGTCTGTCAATCAATTTCCCTTAACTAAGGGCGCGCAAAAAAAAAAGACCTACATATATAATTGTGCTTGAGGTCCCCTATTTATTCCTAGGGCCGTAACGTGAAATGTATTTCATATAACATAAGTAAAGCATTAAAAAAAAACTTACAGTATTTATATATATAGAGTATATAAAAGAGTATTATGGAACATTAGTAAAAAAACAAGAACAAAGATACTTGCCTAGAAAATTCAGTGGAACCTCTCTCGCATATTAGGACAACTAAAGTTTCTAAACTTCAGATCAAATAAAAGCATCTTGCATAACAAACTAAGACTTGAAAGCTCAGACAAGAACTGTATTTTAAACAACAAGATTACTGATTACTACTATGCAAGATGATCCCAAAATTTCACATGGACAGCATGATATATTGTCTTAAAGCAAATAAAGCACCTGGGCAGCAATGGCTGGAACTGACGGCGAGTCAAGGACGTCGGTCGTTGGTGAGCACGGCGTGGGTAAACTCTTCTCGAACTCTGCCGTCCGCAGCCCGGCCTCGAAAGAAGTTTAGTATAATGTGGACATTGTTTCTCTCATAAGCTCTCGCCTATCAGTACAGCTCCAGTAAGCCAGATGATGTTTATGAACAGTTGAAGAATCTAGATTAATACCGACTAGAAGGGGATGCGCGGCATAATGCTGTGCTCAGCTGTGCATACAAAACAAATACGGTTTAAGCAAAATTTTAATTCCAAATAGTTTTTATTGATCGAGTGTTTCCCTTCGTTCATTTGATTTGAAAAGGTAATATCAAATGTATTAGGTACATAATTAGAAGCTTGTAATTCGAAAGATGACAAACTTGAAATGCTTGGACACTCTGACTACATTACCACCATAACAATTTTATTTAAGCAGCATATCTAGCAACCAATAAAGAGCTTATAAAACAAAGCACTATTTCTTTTTTTTTCATTTTTACAGATTGCATGCTAAAACCAGAACCTTCTCCAATCACCCGTCACATATGAATCTGAGCACTTCAGAATATTAGTTTCTTCCACTTTCTAGGAAAACCGAAGGTTCTTAACAATGACAACAGGTGAGTGATAAATCATCCTAAGTACGACTTCACAGGTGAGTGATAAACCGGCACCTTTGTTTCTCTGCATCGGTGCCACCTATGGGGTTCCCAACCGGCTCCCATTTATGAGCAACTAGGTCCCGATCTTTTGATAGGTATTGATAACTCTCGATATGGTGAAAACTTGACAAACACGATCCGGCTTTTTGATCAGCACGATCCAAACCCTACAATCGCAGCACCACATCTTATCTGGTTATCAACCGTGCACTACCCAGTTAACCCCGCCGATAAAGCTAATCCTTGCATGTGAATTTGAAGAACACAAGAAAGACACAAGGTACACTGCAATTCAATTAAGCTCTCAAATTTGGGGTTACATAAACCGAACTAGCATGAAACTACAACAATAAAAATAATATAAGAAAACTTCAGTATAAGCTATGACGACTACTGGATAAATATGATTAGGGATATTCTAGGGTTGCCCTAGGGCGCCAACCCCTTGGGCTTAGCTCATGACCCAATTACAAGGCTCGAGGCCTAAATTAGATTCGGACTGGATAAGGTACGTAGATTGTTTTGCAGATTTCTGATAGCCTAGGAGGAATTTTGATGTGGGACTAAAACCATATGAAAGTAGAATCCATAAGCTTTCCAATAAGTCCTTATGGGCCCCAAGTTTTCTTCTAGCACGAGATCAACGGCTAGTCTCGAATCCGAATATAAAACGTGCGAAATTTCATCTCTTGCTTTCTATGGACTAAAAGTGACGTGGTGAGTTAAGACTAGACTTGGAGAAAGTCTTGGTTTGGCCCCCAGTGAACTTTTTTTGATCATCCATTATTCCTTTGCCCAAATAAGTACCTCTACAAATGGAACACATAAAACTCATGGTGCAGTATCGTCTGTTTAAATATATAACATGTAAATTGTACATAGAAAACATGCACCTTTGGTTGCTGAATGAATAAGGTATCCATGGTCATATCCGATCTAGTGATATCCTAATCATTTAGTTTTATGTAGTAGTGAGAGAGTGCGCAACAGAAGACCGAGCCATGGATCTGCCGAGCCAGTTCACCATCTCCTGTAGGGCAGCCTATATGTTGCACTGTATGTACACCGCTGTCTGTACAAGGTGTGACACCAACACATAAGTCTTATTGGATTTTATAGGAGCAGTTATACCCAAGTACAACATAAACGTTAGAGGTGAACAACGTTTGCAGAATTCTTTGCCACATTAGCCAAATTATCTTTTTCAACGCATATCCAATTTTAGATACGGCACCATTGTAGCATACATTTAACAAACTTGTTTCCTAAGCAATCCTGATTGCCAGAGAGGGTAGCCACACTTTACTGCTTTTCGTGAACTTTCAAGGTGTGGAGATTATGGATATCCCATATCTACACGGCGATGGTATTTGGACTGAGTACAGGATACCAAATATAGATAGAATATCTTATTTGTGTCTCGGGTTTGTTTCTTAACTTGTACATCAAGGAAATACCTTGAGACTTAGTCGGTTACGACTGTATTTAATCTGTATCTGCATATTCCGTTAGGGATATATATTATCTTTTGTAACACGGACTCCTTCCCATATATAAGGGGGGTCCGGGTGCCTCTAGGGGCATATGTTGATTTTCCCAAATCATACAATCAATAATACACTCGGCGGATCCATCCCCGGACAGGAGTAGGGTATTACTTCTTGAATAAGAAGGCCTGAACCTGTATAAATCCATTGTCTCCAAACCCATACACTTCTCAAGCTTGATAGCCACCCCCTTTTATTATTGCCGAAATCTAGTTTCGACAGTTGGCGCGCCAGGTAGGGGTTGCGTCAAGCTTTTCGCCGATCAGTGCAATGGGTTCCATCTCCGGCATCGACGACCTCGTCTTCCCACCCGGGCAGATGTTTCGGTTCGGCAGCCTCGACTTCGTCACCAACAACTTCGGCAAGATCTCTCTCCTTGACTCGGAGTCATACCAGTCGGGAGAGAACCGGATTTCAGTCCCGTTTGGACTCCCAAACGCGGCTGAAAGTTACTTCAAGACCATCTCAATCGAGTCGGCTTCAAACCACTCGGGAGAGATCGCATCTTCTCCAACGTCACCAGATCAAGATGATGGGGCTTACCCACCGATCCTGATGGAGCTCCCTGACGATTTGGCGACCGTCTCCATCATGACAGCGCCTTCATCCCGTAGGCCTAGGCGGAAGTCGGCTTCAACACCGATTTCGCCTAGCTTCAGGGAAGTCGGCGTCATCCTCCAACCACTCGGCACGGTTTCGACGGATCAGCTGGATGGCTACTACAGCTCTCCCACCGTCGACTCGCGTCCCACCGACATCGTGGAATACGACGAGTTTGGCTCTCGCTACTACAACGACCCGGATCTCGACGACTTCGACGGAAGCCTAGAAGACAACTACACCCCTCTCTACTTCGGCGTCTTCATGGCCGACAATGAGACGGAGGAGCAATGCCAAGCCCGGGAAACCGAAGCACGTCGCGAGATTGAGCGTCGCCGACTGGAGCAGGAGCGTCAAGCACAAGAACAAGAACGGCTACGGCGTGACCAGCATGAGCGTGAGCGAACCGCGAAGGAGGCTGAGGACCGACGGCAGCGAGCCTTGGAAGCAGGGCGCCGAGCGCGTGATTTCATTGGCCAGCAAGATGTTGAAGGGATACCGGTTTTCCGCACCCCTCAGCAGAATGCGGTTGCCGCGATCACCCTCCTCGACACCCTCCTCAAGGAAAACGAGCACAATCAATCTGATCACGTCGTCAACATCTTGAACCAGACAAAGACCATGATTGCGGCTTCGGTTCCAGTTAACTCCGA